TACATGGAAAAGAAGAACAAATAAAGAATTAGAAGATATGTACAAGAATCCTAGTATAGTGCGAGTAATAAAGGCTCAGAGACTCAGGTGGATAGGGCACATAGAAAGAATGACAAATTCTCGACTACCAAAAATGATTCTGATGCAGACAATGGGTACAAAAAAAAGGAGAGAAAGGCCGAAAAGTAGATGGAAGCAAGAAGTAGAGAAAGACCTAGAAACACTGGGAATAGAAAGATGGAAGGACAAGGCTACAGGATTAAAAAGCATTGTTAGTACTTACAGCGATTGTCAAAAAAACTGTATTTTTTCCATTTCACCGGACTACTATGCCTTAAAATTTGAAATTTTTGTCATTGAGTAGAGATCAGTGGTGATTTATACAAGCTCAATAACATAAAACAAGAACAAGTGAAAATAGAAACCAAATTGGAGTAGAGGACGATATTGTAGGTACCTACCTTATGCTTTAAACTTCAAATCTATTAGAATAAAATAAAAAAGGAAGTTATATAAAAGTAAATTGGTGAGTTATATTATTATTGTACATATTGTATACTGTTTAATTTTACACTTTCAAAAATTCCAAAAATCAATAAAAATTTTATTAGTCGTAAGGTGCTATTCTCTATAAATATACATAATATAAAAGTGGGTATAAATAGATTGTAGTTATTTCATTGTTTAATCAGCATGTTCATGGGAATTACACAACAAAAAAATTAATCAATTTGAAGCAAAATTCAATAGTTTTATTATTGCAGCCAATAATGTTTTATGATCATGCCTCAAGGTCAAATGTTTTCCATATAATAAAAATAGATAAGGGAATAAAAGTGAACAAGCTATTATATTGATAAGAATTACCAAGCAATTAATGTTTTTATTTATTTGGTATTAATTCTGAAAGTGATAGTTTGAAATATAATATATAGTATGTAGTAAAAGTATAATAGTATAGTAAATAAATATTTCATTGATGTGTAGGTAATCAATTTAGAAGAAAAATGTTAAATAGAATTTTAGATACCATGGCACGTTATAGTATTATTAGGTTTGGAGTATTTATACATGTAAACATTTACAACATTTATAACTTTTAAATTAGTTTGGTTATTTTGTTAGTTGCTCTTGTTTTGAGAGATATTTTTCACACAATAATTATTTCACAGGGAAGGAAAACGTAACTTTTTTAGTTTAAGTTTTATAGAAAAAAGTTATTCTTTGTAAAAAGTTCTGAATGATCTAAAATCTAGAATACAATCATCAAATATACCTTTTTATTTTATTTTAAACGTAGTTTTTCATCGTTTACCGAAGTACATGGAATGATGTTGTACGTTGAACCCGTGTACATCGTCCATTCTTCTTCGTAATTCGATCACATAACCTTCACCTGCTACATCTTCTCCAGGTCGACACCCAAACTCTAGATTACAAGGTAGTCGCATCTCGCGTCCGAATAGGACTCTGGCTAGTGTTAGGTCTGTTGATTCGTTAACAGCAGATCTGTAGGCCATTTTGAAGAACGGATGATATTAGTCCTACTCTTGCTGATGATCGGACACCATCTTTTTCAAATACTTGCCAACTGTCCTATTCATCCGTCCTACCATACCATCCGATTGCGGATTATATGCTGTAGTTCTTGTTTTCTTCATGCCTAGTCTATCACATATTCCTTGGAATAGATCGCTTTCGAAGTTCCTCCCTTGGTCACTATGGATCTCCAAAGGTACTCCAAATCGGCTGATATATTCTTTGATCAACTTATCTGCTATGGTGACGGCCTTCTGCTTTGGAAGTGTGTAAATCTCGACCCACTTAGTGAAACAATCCATTACTGCCAACATGTACTTGCCTCCATTTTCACTTTCTGGAAATGGCCCAACAATGTCCAAAGCTATTCTTTCAAACGGGCTTCCAACATTGTCTCATAGGAGTTCTCCTTTTTCGGTAATGCTCATTACTCGTAGCAGTACATTTCTTACACCAGTCCTTTACGTCGTCGAAACTGTTCATCCAATAAAACCTTCTCGAATTCGCTGAAGGGTTTTCTTTACAACGAAATGCCCTCCTGATGGACTGTCGTGTAACTGACGCAGTACTTCGGCTATTCTGCTCTTTGGGATCACCAACTGTCTTCTCTTCTCTGAACTGTCATCATTTTCCAGCTACTTTTCCTACTCGTTTGAGCAAGCTATCTTCCATGATAAATGAATGTCACTGGACCCAATACGTCTTAACTACTGAGCATAGGTTTGATATTTCTTGCCAAGGTGGTCGACGGTTCCCCTCTTTCCATTTTCGAATTTTCTGTACAACTGGATCTCTCTCTTGTTCTTCCCTTATCTTAGTGGGCGTCTAGTCGTTGACCATCGTTGTTCTTGGAGTCGTTCGATCCATCTGGCTAGCTGACACTCTGGATTCTTAAATTGCATTAACCACTAAAGGGCGGCAGGTCGGATCAGATTAAAAACTTCCTTCCATAGAGGTATTGATAGAAGTGCTCTACTGATTTCACTACTGCTAGAAGTTTTCTTCTCGTGACGCAATAATTCCGCTCAGGTTTTGAAAGAACTTTACTAGAATATCCAAGGACTCGTTCCGGTCCTCCTTGAATCTAAGATAGCACTCCTCCAATTCCCACATTACTTGCATCTGTATCTAAGATGAACTCTAAAATTGGTGCTGTGATTAAATGCTTTCTCAAGGTCTCAAAGGCATTTTGGCAGTCTGTATCTCAGCGGATAGTCCAAGAAAACTTCTCACTTGATGTTTGTCAGTTGGTTCTGGCCGTTCCTTAATAGAATCGATTTTTCACTTATTCACGGCCACTCCTTCTTTACTGACTAAATGACCCAGATAATTGACTTTACCTTGAAATAGGTAATAGGTAATAATTTAACGTCAATTGGGCAGCTTTAAGTCGATTAAAAACATTTTCAAAATCCTTTAGATGATCTCTAAATGCCCCCCCCCCCCCCAACACTATTATGTCATCTAGATAAACCAGGCATGTTTTCCAAGATAACCGATAACCCGCTCAACACATTTTCCATAATCCTCTTAACTGTCGCAGGAGCATTACAGAGACCAAATGGCATAACATTGAATTGCCACAATCCAGATCCTGTGGTAAAGGCTGTCTTCTCTTTATCTACTGTTGATCCGAATGTATCGTCGATCCGAGGCAGAGGATAAATATCTTTCTTGGTAACGTTGTTCAGCAAACGGTAATCCACACAGAACCTCGTCGTTCCGTCTTTCTTCTTAACCAGGACCACCGGAAAGACCCATGGGCTCGTACAAGGTTCTATCACCTCGTCTTTCTTCATTTCCTGAACAATCGTTTCAGCTTTCTCTCTTTTCGCCTGTGGTAATCGTCGAGCTGTTTGACGAATTGGCTTAGCATTACCAGTATCAATTTTATGCTTAACAACGGTAGTTCTTCCCGTCTATCCTCCTTTCGGTACGAAAATATCACGATACCGCCGAAGAAATTCCCTTAATTTCCGTTTCTCCATCTGATTTAGAGACTGTCCAGCAACTGCAACCATTTGGTCGAATTTGTCCTTGAAATTATCGGATGTTGTCGTCTGACGGATTATGGATGTCACATGTACTCAAGTTCCTACTTTTGTCTCTTTCTTGATGGTCACTGGGTAGTCATTGAAATTGATAAGTCTCGCAGGTATTTCTTTAGCAGAAGTCGCCAATTCCTTTCCAATTATGATTCCTCGGCCAACCTCGTCGTCATGGTTCCAAGGTTCCATTATATCAGGTGTCCGTCCACAATTCCCTGTAACCGCGCTACTATGATCGTTTCACTTCTCGCTGGCACGACTATATCTTCTTTAATGGCTGCTTGCACAGTGTTGTCATCATCTGAATGAAAAAATACCTCCTCGTTACCAACTTTGACTACCTTATTCTTAAAATCCAATTGGAATCCATGCATATTCATTACGTCCATTCCTAATATAACATCCTCTTTGATGTCAGCAACTATAACAGTATGGACGAACTTTTCGGCTCCAATTCCTAATTGTACCTGGATTTCTCCATGAATGTTGGCATTTTCACCTGTAGCGGTCCGAAGTCGCAACATCGTTTGTAACAGTTTCTTACGGCTGTTTATAACTGTCGGGCGTATAATGGTTCTGGTCGCTCCGGTATCCACCAACAATGTATGCCTTTTACCATTTATTTCTCCATGTACATATTACACTATCTTCACGACATTTCAAAGAAGCTATTAGTATGAGAGGGTCTTTGGAAAACATCCGGGTCGAAGCTGCCCTCCTAAGGCCGACCCGTTCTAGTTTTCCTGATGGTGAGTTTCTTGATTTGCGTCGTACCTAGGGTGTTTACATGAACTTGGTGTGTGTCCTATTTGGCCACAATTTCAGCATCTTATGGTCTTCGTTTTCTTGTAGGTAATACTTTTCATCATATTAACGAGCTGGTCAAGTTTATCTATACCTCCTTCCTCTTTTACAGTCCTAACTTTACTATACCCGCCAGAAGCCTGCGTAGCTGACTCATATTCGAGGGCGGCGGATAAGACATCAACCAGCATTTTGTGACAAGCTAATCGTAGTGTTCTCTGCATTTCTCACTATTTTAATAATGAATTAACATGATTCCAGATCTTATATAATGGGTTCAAAATGGTTGTTGTAAAAAAAGAGATCAACTGCTTTACAAGAACTATAGACATCTTTGTGCTGGACACTTGCTATAAAGAATTTAGTAGAATTCTGAGAATTCTTTATTAAATATAAACTAAAAATTTTCTGGAGGCATTTCTACAAAACTCTAAGATCTGACTCACTAAAACCACCTAAAGCTATTTTTGGACATTTGTCATGAATGATGTCACATATGCACTCACTGGACAGAGTAAATTGGCAATAACGTTGTGAATGTGAAGGTAACTAGAATTGCAGTATTTATAACATAATAAAAAAAATAAGTAAAAAACAGTATCCACATACCTCTGCCTTCCCCCAGTTGTTTATGCCTGGCAGATTCATGCCTCCAGTTGTTCCTCTGCTCCATCTGGTTCCTTTCGGAATATGGCATTCTCTTATGACCTACGGTATCACTGGTGTCGGATGTTTTTTCAACGCCGTTCGCATGAGCAAATGAGTTTCGATTCATGTCTTGTGACTGATTTTGTTCTCTGGCTTGAGCAATAGGTCTAGGCACGTAACGAATCTGGAAAATGAAGATAATAACTGTATACAGAGCAATAGGAAAAGAAATATGTAGAGATTTGTGCAGTAGAATTATAGCCAAGTGGAGGATAATTACATTAGTTAAGTATTTTATATAAAGCATACATAAATATATAATAAAATGAATAATATCTTACTTGGTCAGGTTTTTTTGGGCGCTTAGTTACTTCATTATTAAGAGACAGATCTCCTAATTCTGAAGTAACTCTGTTAAAGTCCCTAAGTCTATCTCCTTGTGAACTACCTTCACTTCTAAATTTGGAACTATCTAGATGTGTATTTTCAAATTGATTATGTATGGGATTAAATAAAACACTGGAATCTGATTCTGTTTCGTCTACAGTATTTGATTTCTTTAAAGGGCCACTTCCTGGTCTATATATTGGTTGATGAGGTTTTCCACGTCTCATTATTTAACTTCACTATATTAAAATCTTGAAAACAAAAAATTCTATTAGTTAAATATGTTTAATACTAGCATACTATACTATAAGGATCGCAGGGACTACTGTTGTGATGTTCAAAATGTCTCTAATAGCTCTTAATATAATTGTACCTACGTCAAAGTTATTGTTTTATAATATGTACACAATATTCAACATTAAGCAAGTTGACATTAGCTTTTAAATATAAATTAAACGCAATAAAACAGAGTTGCATTGTTACATAACTATTCTTTTACTGAGGAACACTACATCACCATCTCACATTTGTATATTACAGCAAAATATTTGTGATAAAGTGATAATGTGATTATCAATTATCAAATGCAAAAGAGTTGTTGTAGGGGGAGTTTTTAAATGATATTTTAGATTGAATGTAAATTTTTGGCATCAATTAAGTTTTGATTTATTACAAACCACCTAAGAAAGTGAAAACATACAGAAAAGATACTCTGAAACCACTGTAATTAATAATATATACAAGATGACAAAGTAAGAGTAGAGGTACATGAAATATAATGGAGAGAAAAATGAAATATAATAAGGAAAACATTGAACAGCTGACATGGCACAACCACAGATTTCTTTAAGTAAATTATAATCAAAATATGCATAATTTATAAAGTAAATGTCCAAGAGAGTTTAAAAAAGAAAAATAAAGGATTGTGTTTAAGTATTTGGTAAGAACAAACCCAGTAAATATGAAAGTGATAGAAATTATGATATCTATGAAATATCTCTGAAATGAAGAACAGAATGCAGGAACACAAATTGTGAAGAGACTCACTAATCAATCACTGTAGTCCCAAGAATATGAATAGCAAAATATATGCAGCTACATATTCTGTAGAAGTATTGGATAAGGATAGAAAGATTTATGAATGAAATAATGAGAAAGTGTAAGATAGAGTAGATGCTTAAAGTGAAAATCTATGCTTAGAATATTGTAGAAAAAGAAGATAACTTCATTGCTTAGAGCCCAGAAGGCTTGTTAAGCGTTTTTAAAAGGAGAATAAGAGTTTATATGGAAGTATGTTGTTTAAATATCTTCCGTTTATTGCAGCATTATTCTTTGTTTATCAGTACGTGAGGTTAGGCACATTCGCATTTTAGAGACACATTAACTCATCGCAATTCATTCGCATGCGAATACAGATCATTTTAAAGCTCTACAGGTATACAAAGGCTGTTCCACTATGGTTAGGACTGTATGGGATTCCAACTATAAACACGTACCTCATCATGGCCATTAGAGGCTTCAAACTTCGCCATGACACTATCTTTAACTTTTGCAATAATAGTGTGTTTTTAATTATTAAAAAACAATCTGGATGTATATTTTAAGTACTTCCTGTCATGTAAACTTACCAAAAAAATTGCTTGCTTCAACAAAATATGATATTTTTTAACCTTGAAAACTTGAATTTCATTTCTGGGTGTTGGCAATAGATGATTACAACGCGCGAAATTTAAAGAAATATTTTAAAATATTATTATGTACTTCTATATATTTGCAAAATATTATATAAAAATTAGTTTTTCTTTGGAAGGTAAAGGTTATACCACATTTCTTTCATTAAAAAAATACTTGACTGATCGGTAGTATCCCCGGCAACAAGATCTTAATAAGTAGGCAGATTTTAGCAAAAGTTATAAAAGTAGACAGTTATAAAAGTAAATATGAAATAAAATGCAAATAAATGTTTGATTTATTTATAAAATAAAATATTTGATTATATCCTTAGTTGCAAGCAGGATTTAGCAGGATAAAAACGTTTTTCCTTGAATTATTAAATCTTTATGTTGGTGTTACTAGGATCTGTCAACATATATTTAAATAATAACAGATCCGTATTAAGCACACAGTGCTCTTACACCATAAAATATATATTTTATTCGCATCACTGTTTTTAATTTAAATTTCTATGCTTCGTTACAAAAATCGTTTTAGGTGTAATGGATTTATTTAATTTAATAACACGAAAGTTACATGATTATTCAAAATTGTTTATATGCGTAAACAGAAATATATGCTATGTGAATAACATGCAATTTTGTTTTTTTTTTTATTCAAAACTTAAATAAAAAATGAAGAAGTAATGTCACCACTATTGTGGCATATTAATTAGAATATTGTCATTTATATATAAATTACAGTGATCATTATACTAATATTTTGAAAAACCTTGATTAACATTCAAAATGAAAAAGTAAGTTTTGTAGTGAAATGGTTATTTGCACCTTCTTTAAGTATCGACAGCTCTTAAAGAATTGTGTTAATTGTTTTAGTCAATCAGTGAATAAGAAACTTCAATATGAGCTTGTAGCTACTGATCCAAGGAATAATCTTCGCAGACACATGTTCCCAAGTACTTCAACCGATGATAATACGGCTGCTAATACTAGGGTATGAGTTTAGTTATTATTATATTATATAATCACATGGTGATGGTGGCTAGTAAAAATGAAATGAGTAGGTAGTACTGATAACATAGAACATATATAAAAATAATAATAAAATTATTCTTTGTCAATCTATCACACGAAATATGCTATTAAATATAAGGGTTAACAATATATATGTGTGTGTGTGTGTGTGTGTGTGTGTGTGTGTGTGTGTGTGTGTGTGTGTGTTTTATTGGCACTGGTTTAAGGGTTACCAATAAAAACATCCAAAATGTCCCAAAGTGCAGATATCTCGGTAGTTGGATAACTGAAGATTTAGATCCAGACATAGAGATACGTAGCAGGATTGAGCAAGCCAGAACAGCATTTACTAATATGAGAACCTTGCTAAGCAACAGCAGCCCTAACTTAACGCTTCGATATTCTTCTTCGCGTGCGATATCAGAACTATCCGACGTTGGCGATCACCATTACGAAGGCTTCTCCATCTTCTGCAATATGGAATAATTGTCCTGCATTTGGTATTTGAGTCCATTCACCAATGTTTTTTAACCAAGAAACTTGTTTTCTTCCTACACCTCTACGGCCATCTATTTTGCCTTTAAAGATCAGTTGTAAAATTTTATATCGACTTCCCCTTACTATATATCCCAGATAAGATATTTTTCGATGTTTAACTGTCTTTAGCAGTTCTCTGTCTTTGTTGACGCTCCTTAGTACTTCTTCATTAGTTTTTCTTGGTGTCCAAGGTATCTTCAGCATTTGTGTATGAATCCACATTTCCAATGCTTCAATTTTGTTCATGATCGATACTTTTAGCCTCCACACTTCTGCACTATACAAAAGTACAGACCAAACATAACACTTAACCATTCTTTGCCTTAGTTCTAAACTGAGATGGTTATTGCAAAGAAATGACTTCATTTTCATAAAAGTAGTTTTAGTCATTGCTATTCTACGTTTTATTTTTATGTCTGGATCTAGTTGGTCCGTTATCACAGTTCCCAAATATGTCATTTTGTGAACTTTATCAACTTGGACTCCGTTTAATTGCATCGGGATGTGGGTCACGACTAAACACTAAAAATTTGGTTTTGTTTGAGTTTATTTTAATGCCCATTTCCTCTCCTACCTCGTGAATACGATCCAGCAGAATTTGAAGACCTTCAATATTATCTGATAAAATTACTGTATCGTATGCATATCTAATCACATTAAGTAGTTCTCCGTTGATTTTTATTCCATATGGTTGTCTCTCAAGTGCCTTTTTAAATAGCTGGTTCGAGTAAACATTGAACAATGTTGGCGACAAAATGCAACCTTGTCTGACTCCTCGTTGTATGGGGATTTCATCGGTGTAGTTCAACGCTTCGATATAGCTTTGTAAAATGTTACATTTACTCCATACTGCTATATGGTGTAGAAACCTGGACCATAAAGGCCAATGTGATGAACCGATTGGAGGCCGTTGAAATATGGGTATTTAGAAGACTACTTCAAATTCCCTGGACAGATCACACAACAAATGTCGAAGTATTAAATCGAATGTACAGAGAACGAGAATTGCTGCCAATAATAAAAAGAAGAAAAACTGCTTATCTGGGTCATATATTTCGAAACTCGAACTACCAATTCTTAAAGCTTATTATGGAAGGGAAGATAGAAGGAAAACGGGGCATCGGAAGAAAGAAATATCCATGGCTTAAAAACATAAGGGATTGGACAAACCTCGATGCCCATGCACTCTTTAGAGCCACACAAGATCGAGAGGAGTATGCTAGAATTGTCGCCAACATCCACTAATTGGATAGGGTACCATAAGAAGAAGAAGTCAATCTATCCTTAATTGATTCGATAAATAGATCTTTTATATTTTAATAGGTTCCTTCTCTGGAGCCGTTCAACCTTTTTTGCAGTCTACTCTGCCAAGGACAATAAACCATTCTTAGGTATCTATTTTGGGGTTTTTCTTGCCTAAACAGAAAAGGAATTACGACTAGGATCCACCTGTTTCTTTGATTTTTGCAGCTTTGATTCTACTAGGCATTGAACTCTTAATGCGAGTTGAACTCTTAATTACATATAGTTTCAGTATTAAAACAGCCAACATTTTGCCTAAAATATCACAAAGTTTGTCTTCCGTTTCAAAGTAACGTATGTTTTGGGAGATTTCCGTATCAAAACAACCAATGTTTAAAAGAGCCAATCAGAAGACTTTCTTTTATTCACATGACCTCAATATCATAAACAAGGAACATGAACGATTCACTTGAATCAGTGCTTGGTTATTTATAAATTTTTAGCATTTAATAGCACATTAATCGAAATTTAAGAACTTTTAAGTTCAGAAGAACATAGATATTTCACCAGTACCAGTAACACCAACTAAATGTCGAAAAATAATTAGACAACCTGAAAAATAGTAATGGAATGTTAAGGAAGGTCTCAGGTAAGTGCACTATTTGTAACAGTATGGTTTAAACCTCCATTTGAATTTAAATTCTCTTGTTTTTGACCCACCAATTTTTCAGGAGATCTGAAAACAATTTTCTTTCTATTTCAGATAAATCGAAAAAGTAGCAAAATAATCGCAGTGCCAGCACAAATCAACAGCTTTTAAGTGCAGACTTGAAACTAAGTGAACTTGCAGAAATCAACAACTAATTCTACTTAAATTCAACAAAGATATCACAAAATGCATTTATATTAGATAGTATTGAAATACAGTATAAAAATAGATAATGTAAGCAGCAAGAATGTAAGAATAGAGGTCCATGAGATCAACGAAAACGTTATAAACGTTTGTCTAAAGGTATTTCTGAATATATTTCGTATTACACGACAAAGAGTAGAAAAAAGACTCACTAGAGGAAAAAATTAAACAGTCAGAAGGAGGATAGAAAGCTAATGTCAAAAAAGAATTTACAAGCTACGAGCCTAGGCATTCTATAATTCCTCCACCATATATACCACCATAATACTTTTTCCTTCGACCTTCAGAAGAACCTGTCCTTGGCAAAAGTGGCAGAGCAGCAGGCACATTACAGCAGACAGCTTTGTACATGATCTCACTGTCGTTCACAGATACTCAAAGGCTGCACTTGGGCCTCGGAACTCATTCAGCTATTGCTGGAACTAAGACCAATATGAGAAATTTTCCAATCTGTAGCCTCTGCAATTTGGCACCGTTTATGCCATACAGATATGGCAAAGGTAACTACTGTGAGATTGTGATTCTCACGGGTTTTTTCTGATGTCTTTGAGAGATATATTTGATTAATTTATTTAACCTTCATGAGTTTTCGTTTAAAACTCATTGGCGCCCATTTTGTTTTGCAGTTGAGGTGTACTCAGTGTTTTTTGTTTTTTCTTTGTCTTTTTTTGGCTTAGACTTATCCTCATACAGCCAGACGCAAATGGAATAAGACAGTATTCATCATTATAATTTACCTAAATACTCTAAAAAATAAAAGATTACATCGATATTAGGACACTCTCTTCTCGCCTAGGGACCTATCAAGGCATTGATTTAAATAAGACACAACAACACTAGGTCACGGAGAGGAAGAAGTTATACAAATGGTTTAAAACAAAGGTAACAAGATTAACTAAATAATTGTTAGAGAATTATAATGAAAATTTGCTCTCTTTTAAAAATTTAATTTAAGAATTGTAAACATCTACAGAGTCAAGTGATAATAAATATAGTATATTTCAAGGAGCTGCTATTTTATATTTTAATAAATAATTTATAAGTTTGGATGAGTAGACTGTATTTTTAGAACAACCAAAAAATACATGATCTAAATCACTTTCCTCGCTACAATGCTCACATTTGTCATCATCCAAAACCTTTACTTTAAATAAGTGCTTTAATGGAGTGCTAATAATGGAGTTATGTGCCCCCTGGAAGCTCTACAAGACTTGTACCAAGGAAATTTGTAAATTATCTGGCTGAATTGACGAGTATCTATTTCGATTCACAAAAGAGTATTCCTTCCATTGGTAGCTCTACTCTCGAAGCAATGTTGACTTGCAAGAAATAATACTATCAGAAAGCGTTACTTTATGTAGAATACCAGTATCGGTTGAAATGCTTTCTTTGGCTAATAAGTCGACATATTCATTATGTTCAAATCCTGCATGAGCTTTAATCCAGAGAAAATGTACATTGATTCCTCTGGTTAAAAGAATTTGTATAATATGTTTAATTCTATAAATGTATGGGCAGTCTTGTGAGTGTGGTGGTCCATATTTACCAATAGATTTTAACACTGCTAAGGAGTCGGACAAAATTATAATATGGGCAAAATCACCTTCAGATACATATAATAAAGCTTCATATATTGCAATAGCCTCTCGCTGTATAAATAAAACTATTATTATTTGTTATCTAATTATTATCATCTATCGCTTATCTATCTGCTTTGATCTGCACTTTTCTATCATCTATATCCTTACAGACCCCCAATGAAGCTGACTTAAGCAACGTAGTCTTAGTTAAGTATTGGTGAACGAGAAGCTTTTTACCATATCCTTTGGTCAGTGCCAATTCTAATTATGTATTAACCATAAATTCTTTTATCGCTGTAATGGTTGTCTGTTCCATATTTTAATAGTTCATCTTCTATCATTCGTTTAGGCCGTACCATTTCGATATTTTTGTTTCAATAGTGTCTTTCTCCCGATTTATCGTTTACTCTTTCTAATCTGTGTTGGTGTTGAACCCTTTAATAATTTAAATTTTTTTTGTTCATGTTTCGAAATTAAATATATCCTTTTAGATAAAAGAAAAAGAAAAAGAAGAAAGAAAGGTGCTTGGCATTGATAGTGCGGGTAATTTTAGCACAGATGAAACCGATGAAGTCCTTGGGGATAGCGAAGAAAAGTTCGTTAGAAAGTCGAAGAAACTAATAGATTCCAGAAATGTTGACGGAAGGATGACTATCGTATCCCAAGTGTAAGTTTAACTGTAAAGCTAGATGTTTCAAAAGATTTCCGCGGTTAGTACAATTAAACATACAGCTAAGATTAATACTATTACAAGAACTAATATTAAACTCATCAGTCTTTCGGGTTGAATAGCATCGATTATCATTGCCCCGAGCTTTCGACATCCTTTTGGTGTCTTCTTCAGGGCTTCCGAGTTCCCAGACATTACTACACTGATAACTAACCAATGTATTATTGCAACTGGGAAAGAGGACGGTTCATTTATACCGTCGATTGTGACGGGGATTGGGTAGAGGTTGACGTAGCGGTTAGCGTTAGGGATTGGTGAATGGAGCAGGCCATATTTTCTTTATGAGAGATCTCCATGTCAAGGGTAACCTTATCCCATCATCTCTTTTATTACATTACATTACATTACAATTTGGCCTTTTTTTCAATTCAAAAGATGATGAGAGCTATGGTTCTGGTGGTTTAAAATCAATTTTGTGATCAAAGTTTGTCAGCCTAATCAACTTATTGAATATTATCGACTTCTTCTTTTAGTGAAGGCCCAAGAGAAGCACTATGTTGCAAATATAACGAGGAGTATGATTATATAGCCGTTGGCTATACAGATGGCGTCATCAGGATATATCAAGCTCTTACTGGAAAACACGTGTTTACTTTAGAAGACGACGATGTGAAGAACGTTAGAGCCCCTTGTACTTGTATCAAGCATAGACCGGTTTCAAAGGTCTATCCGATTACGAATTGTTACACAGGAACATGTAAGTACTATGAACTGTATATGTTTATAAATAACTTATATGCTATATTATATGCTATAAATAACTTCTTGCTAACTACCCACTTATAAAGGTTTAATAACCTTAAGATTACATTTTAAATGTTTTAAAAATTAAAATTGAAGCGACATAAGGTTGATGTTACGACCACATGTCACAAAAGATTTAAATTTAGAGTTAAAAGATTTAACTTTAAGGGGGCGACTGAACCCTACTCAAAAAGAGGACTACATCTGTAGTATCTTAAAAAAATACTTAGTGTAAACTTAGCTTTAAGGAATATGACAGAAGTAGAAGGAATGGTTCCCGCCAAGCGAGAGAATTAGAGGTTAGCTTGGCTTGGTATATATAGTTTAGATTGTAGTGAGTTTTGTATTTTACAATTTAATTATATAATGCCAAACGCTAATTTAGAGCCTATTTCTTTTCTGCTCCTCGGTCACAACATCTGTGTCCTAGGAAATATACCAGCCAACTGAAGTATGTAATCAGGAAGTGAAATTAATCTTAATTGACAAGGTCTTTAAGACAAAGCACAGTTTATTTTTAGTTAATTATTAAAATTGCACAACCTAGGAGCGTTATTATTTTAAACGAAATCATAATAATAATTTCTGTAAAATTATAATTTCAAAACTCATATCAAACATACCTACCATTTCAGATGCTAACGGTTGCGTAAAATGCTGGAGCTATAATTTCAATCAATGTCTCTATACAATAAAAGAAAAACGGCAAACCTTCGGACTGAGCTATCATCCAAGATTCCCAAAATTTGTTACGTACGGCGATGATCTTAGAGTTCATTTTTACGATGAAGAGACCAGAACTCAAGAAAGAATTTTGGTTCCAAGGTAATTTCTTATTTTTGATTTAAAATAATACTCTATTCACTCTTTCCTCAGTCTTTGATCGGATCCTATGCTAGAATATAAAACCATTTGTTTTTTCTTCACTATAAGCCAATCACATCCTTCTTCAATTTTTGAGCTAAGTATTTTTGTTTTGTAATTTTTCTTTATTAGATACCTTGGTCCATAGGCTGAATAAAATAACAGTCATGTTTGGGAGCAAAGATTTGCCCATCAATAGACTTAACACATGCGTTGAAGATGTGAAAGGACGTTGTCAATCAACAACTCAGCTTTTTGTGGCAAATTGTTTGTTTTTAAATGTTTTTCAACTCATGATACAAATTTAGCTAGAAACTACTCTTTAAATATTTTTTATCTATCCACCCTTTCTTTGGGTGAAGGAATTAACAGGTAGTTTTTCTGCTCTAGTAACCTTAAAAGACTTTTTGCCTTTCGAATCTTGTCAACTTCGATTTGTAAAACTTCCTCTAACTTTGCTGCAGGACAGTCGTGATCCGTTCTTTGCTGGATTTGTCTCCCTTTACCTTTACTTACAAAAGCTAGTGTCCGAGTTGGAAGACATTTCCAGAAGAGTCTCGATTCGTCTGCGTTATAAATTTGTTCGTAGCTCGGTGAAAAAAGGAGTAGATAGGTAGTCACTTCAGAGCACTTTGACCTTTGACCCCCTGGTGTCACGTTTTCTCTTTAAGGTTTTCATCAGATTGAAATAATAATAAATTCTAGTCAACATTCAACAAACCTGTGATCAGGTCTTGCTTATGGTTACAGTAGATCAGAGCAGGACCCATTTGTGAGCCCTTCAGACACTTAAACCTCCTAAGGCGGGTCAATTGACTCACCACTATCATACAGTCTAGGCCCATAAGGACCTAATCTTCGGTGGATCCGTCCCATATTTATTAACAGCAAGGGCTCCAAATCAACGCCCTCATTTAGCTCGGTTGCATAAAGGCCAAACCCAAAAATCTGCCACCTCTGATAGTGGCAGGCACTTCCAGAAGACATAAAAGGAGGTTTTCTCCTCCTCATAACAAAGACGGCATCTGGGGCCATCCCCCAATCAAAGCACACGAAGGTGTCACCTGAGTTTACAGCTGCCGATAAGAATAATGACCACCAGAGCGCATTTTCTACGGTCTAGAAGGAGAAGTTGGGATGTAATTACTACCTGTTAGGTCGAAAACTCCTTTGAACAGATCTAGAACAGGTTTGAATAGGTCTTGAATAGTTTTTAACAGGTCTAGAATAGATCTTCTTGTTCAAAAACTGTTCTAGACCTGTCAAAGACTTGAACAGATGCTGTTAGAATTCTGACTAGAATCTAGTATCATTTCAATATGAATAAAAAATTAAAGAGAAAACGTGATATCAGGGGAGCAAAGGCCAAAGTACGCAGAAGTATCTACCTATCTACTGAAAAGAACTCTAAATTACTTTTAAATTCCTCAGCGCCCTGTTGGTGACCACTGACCTTTTCTCCATGAAGTCTTATCGCTTTCGTCGCATGGCATTGCTTAAATTATGCATCAAAATCTCCTTCTAAGCCAAATTCGACAAAAAACTGTTTTGCGTTTGCAGCAATTATTGAATCTGATATGGGTGTACCCACATTACTATTTGGACTATCCATTCTAACAACGCCTTCTCTAATTCCACGGAAGAAGAGGTTTTCATTGATTTTCTTTTCTTCGTGACAAAATAGCTTTCTTACATTTTAGGATTTTAGAAAAACCATTGTCCTGACAACCTTTCGGTAAGATCTAACTTGCTATTCTCTAGTCAGATTTGTTTCGCTTCTTGTCGATACTTCAAAAGTACTGCTGAAATAGCTGTTGTTGGATTGTCTGTTTTAGCTAAGTTGTTTTCTCTGATGTACGACTCTACACTCTACATCGTCTCAACGGAGCGTAAGATTACAGTCTATTAATTTTGATAGGATAGTTTTTTATCTTTTATGTATCTGTATCAATTTTAGATGTAACTTCTGTTAATAGCGTGTTGCTTAAAAACACTTATTTCATTTGGCCTTTATTTTACAGTTATTTTAACAGGATTTTTAGTTTATTTACAGTAACACTAAAACACAACTGCTCAAATTATAATACAATTTATTTATTAGTTATACAGGGTGAGTCATGAGGAACTTTACATACTTCTACCATATGTAGAGTCCCTCAGGGAGCATATCATGTGGCCACTAAAAAATGTCAACTCCTCTTCTTTATTAATTAACAGGGTGATTTGTGTAATTGACCATTTATTTCATTTTACTGTAGTGTTTATACGGCTCATTTGTTTTTTTTTAATTTTTGCATGATACAGTACACTACTATCAAGCATTCGACTGGTATTAGCTAAACTGAAAAATTCCAGGACTGGCTTTGGAAAAATTAATTAAGGGATTCGTATTAAATATTACACCCTGTATATATATTTTTTTAATGCAATAAGTGATTTTCAAACTACATAAATAGCCAATGAAAACGACATATGCGACAATGTTGTCGCACTTTTATTAAATTTTTAGTGAACGATCAAATCTTACCAAAAATAGAAACAACCATAATGAAGTATCAAATTATAAGGTATTAATTTAAACAAATGTTATAAATTTCAAACATTTTAATTAAAATGAGTTCCTACAACATAATCTAATACGTAGAAAATTAACATCTTTACTATCACTTTGTATTATCTCTACGATAGAATCAATTGTTTTTCAATTTTAAATTTTTACTCATATATCGTATTGGGACATTATTTTCGATAAATAATAAATTAAATTGATTAAAAAGTCAAACTCTTGTATGTGTTAGTTTTTGTTGATTGTAAATTATTAAAATTTTATGTCAAATAATAATACATTGCATCAACTGTACTAAATAAAAATAAATCAAAAAAAGTTTAAAATGAAGGTTGGCGTTGACCGTTTGACGTTTCTTGATATTTTATACCATTGTCATTATTACCATTATCAATTGTTATTTATGTGTACAAGAATACATATTTCTTCTGTCATATCTACGTTAAGTACATTGTGTTAGTTTTGGTAGAGCTTTTGTTATTTTCGTTCAAAATGCCACATCAGTTTTCGACCACAGAATATGCAGACATAATATTTGTTTATGGATTCTGTAATGGGAATGGTAGGGCTGCTAGTAGAGAATATCGCAGGAGATTTCCTAATCGTCGAACTCCAGTCATCCAACATTTGGGTCAGTTTTTAATTATTTGCGAGAAAATGGCACTTTTCCTAGTGAAACAACAGAGCGACATGTAGATGAAGCGCAGGAAGATGACATTATGGACGCCGTTACTATGAACCTACAATAAGCACTAGACAAGTAAGTCGAGAACTCAATGTTACTCAATCAAAGTAAGTAGAGTCTTATAAAAAATAATCTATACCCATATCACATTCAAATGGTTCAGCGACTACATGCTGGAGATGAGATCGATAGGTTGGAATTTTGTAGATGGATTAACAATAATCGACCAACGCTATACAGGACACTATTTACAGATGAAGCCCAATTTACCCGACACGGGATAAATAATTCACGAAATTCACATGTGTGGCAGAAGAAAATCCCCATGCTATTCGAGAAGGTCGTTCTCAGTTAAGTTTTTCGGTTAACGTGTGGATTGGTGTCATAAATAACCAATTAGTACTCACTTTTTTGATGGTCCTTTAACAGGGCAGGTCTATGTGAACTTTGTACAAAATATTTTGCCGAATTTGCTTGCCAACGCGAACGTTGCTATCCGAGTGATGTATTTTCATGATGGGGCACCCCCACACTTTTTACTGGCAGTGAGACAACATCTCAATAATGTTTATGGCAACAGGTGGATAGGACGTGCAGGTCCTATTTCGTGGCCTTTAAGATCCCCTGATTTCAATCCCGTTGATGGGGACGATTGAAGCAACTAGTTTACGCAGTGAATATTAATAACCGACAACAATTAATTGATAGAATTATACATTGTTGTAATACTATTAGAAACGATCCCCAGAGTATCCGTAATTCAATACGTCAATTAACAATTCGGCAACAAAAATGTGTACAGGCTGCAGGGTTCCATTTCGAAAATCTATTTTGAATTATTTTTATTTTGTTACCATTATTGTATCTTTTCCAGTTCTAATTTATGGGTTTATCATAACTATGTACATATTTTTAGTTTTTTTTTTAATTGTTCTTCGTTATTGTTAGTAGTTACTGTTTTTTGTTGTGCAGTGACTCAATTTATCATTTCAATTAAAATGTTTGAAATTTATAACATTTGTTTAAATTAATTACCTTATAATTTGATACTTCATTATGGTTGTTCTATTTTTGGTAAGATTTGATCGTTCACTAAAAATTTAATAAAAGTGCGACAACATTGTCGCATATGTCGTGTTTTCATTGGCTATTTATGTAGTTTGAAAATCACTTATTGCATTTAAAAAAAGTATATACAGGGTGTAATATTTAATACGAATCCCTAAATTAATTTTTCCCAAGCCAGTCTTGGAATTTTTTAGTTTAGCTAATACCAGTCGAATGCTTGATAGTAGTGTACTGTATCATGCAAAAATTAAAAAAAAAAAAACAAATGAGCCGTATAAACACTACAGTAAAATGAAATAAATGGTCAATTACACAAATCACCCTGTTAATTAATAAAGAAGAGGAGTTGACATTTTTTAGTTGCCACATGATATGCTCCCTGAGGGACTCTACGTATGGTAGAAGTATGTAAAGTTCTTGAACTCCTAAGTTCAGCATAGAGCTTCAGTGAAAACGCGCCATCGGGTTCTATTTTGCGCTAAGGCCACCTCATTCCAAGTCTTTCCTTGGCTTCTTATCTCGTTCATGATGGATCTTCTCCAAGTTTGTACTGGGCGACCTCTTTTTCTTCTTCCTTGTGGATTTCACTCTATGTAATACTGGAATTATTTTTTCTGAGTGTGTGACCAATCCAACCCCAATTTCTGGACTTTATTTAATGTTCTACCCTTTTTTGTTCGGTCAGGTGTAGTAGATCTTCGTTTCTGATGATGTTAGGCAGAAAATACGAACAATTCGTCGTAGGCATTTATTAATAAAGACTTGCGGTTTATCTGAAAGGGTTTTTGTCACTTTCCATGTTTCACATCCGTAGAGTAGAACAGACATAACATTTAACTGGAATATGCAGATCGTTGTCCTTGTAGTATACTCGCCAGGTCTCCAAACAGGGTTGAGCATGCTGAATGCTTGTTAAGCTTTTCGTATCCTCCTACGAATATCGTCCTCTTTACCTCCGTTTTCTGTTATGACACTTGCATGATACGTAAAGTTTTCTACATTTTCAATCTGTATGTTGTTGATAATAAATAGCGTGTTGTTTCTTGCATTTACTCTCATGGATTTAGTTTTACTAATATTGATTTTCAAACCTACTTTATTTATCTCGACTTTCTTTTCGCTTTTAATTTTTTCTTGAAAACTTTTAACTTTTATGTTATTATTTAACCAAATATCTCAAAGTTCTACAGCGAATTTCCAGATAAGCACGATGGCCACATGTCGAGGATTTTTGCCGCTTGTTTCCATCCCAAGAATAACTACGAATTGATCACAGGCGGATGGGACAATGTCGTCCAATTTTGGGATCTCAGACAACCTTACGCCATAAGACACATATCCAATGTTCACATTTGCGGCGAAGGATTGGACATCAACCAGAAGGGTACAGAGGTAACTGATATAAAGATAATTACTAAATAAAACGAAAAAATTCTAGTTAGTAGGAAGGTCATAATACAATCGTAGATGTTACGGAAAGATGCATCGATCTGAATTTTTTTAAGCCTTTTCTCTATTCGGATTGCCGAATATAGGCCTCTTCTAATTCTCACCATTCATCTCTGCTGTTTCTCGTGGTCTTTTGGCTTCATATAGCCGCCAATTCCTGATTTATTTATTCCATCTGCCATCCTTAAAACGTTCGTTATGTCCAGCCCATTTCCATTTCAGTTTAGCTACCTGTTCGACAGCATCTTATACGTTTGTTCCATTACGAATGACTTAATTACTATTTAACTGGGAATAAGCCACAATTAAAGATGAAAATACGTTTATTGACGTTTTTAATTTCCACTTCGGAAATCGTTCTCAAAATACAAAGAGTAAATTAAACAAATTTTGTTTTTTGTTACATAGTGAAAAATTCTTCTAATAATTTAATTTTATCTGACTCATTTATATTGACAATTCAGACATACATTATGTATTTTAAAGTAGACGACTTTAAAATGATATTGCCAATATTGTTGAGTTGCGCTCCTGGGACGACTTTACTTATAAGATAGTTCATTCGATTACATGAAATCAACTTTAACTTGAGAATATCCGTCAGAAAAAAAAATCAAAGCATGTAATTCGTCTTTAAAAACACATGACATAATGACAGTAAATTCTCCTGTTTTTGATTCCATAGTAAATTATGAGGGAAAAACCATGAAAAAAACTTCATAATACTATCCCGACATGGTAAGTATTTGTTCGTACATTTAGTTTACCTTCAATAAACACCAAAATTCTGATTTTATACGTTTCGTTATTTAAAAAACATAAATGATGTATCCTCTATATGTTACTGACTTACTAATATTGGTATTTTCTTATTAATAACTTCCTCTTTCAATATTGGTAACCAGATCCTACTACATTCTGCCGAGGAATTTGCGACACAATTGGCCTCATTTTCATAATTAGAGACGCTTCTTTGATTTTTCTTTATTTACCATCCGTTTCTTTTAGGACTACATTTGAATTATTCCATTGTACCCTATGTTCATTATCCCATGCGTGTTTACATATTTGAGATCTATCAAATTCTCTATTTTTAATATAAGATTGATGTTCACTTATTCTAACATTTAATGGCCTTGATGTTTCACCTAAATAAGATTGATCGCATTCACAAGGTATTTTATAAATGCAATTCTTTTTTCTTTCTTGTTCATTGTTAGGTTTGGTTTTGGACAAAATAGATCACAACGTGTTTGTTGTTTTGAATGTTGTTGAAATGTTGAATTTATTTCCTATCCTTTTAAGTTTTTCTGATAATCCTTTTATGTACGGTATTGTTATTTTCCTCGTATTATTCCTTGTGTATTCTGTAGGATCTCGTTCTAAGTTGTTCTGTTCTATTCGATCGATTGTTGAAAATTCCTAACGAGGGGATGGTCGTTATGTATACAAAATGTAAAATCTGACCGTAATTTTTTACTTTGATTTTTGAAATGTGTTATATATATATATTTTTTAATTTACAAATAAAGAATCATAGTATGCTTCGCGCTAGTCTACAGTACTTTTTTTTCTAGATACTGACTTGCAGTTTTCAATCAGTGGACCCGTTACAGATTTGGGACTATGCCTCTGGAAAGAGAATCGCCACTTTAGAACCAGATATTTTTACGGCAAAAGTAAGACCTTAGTAAAGTAAGTGTAATCAGTTATTTCAATGTTTAACACATCTATTCCTTTAGTTGTATTGTGGAAAGTACGTATCCAAGGATTTCATCGCCATGGGTGGTGCAGATCCCCATCTTCTCAGAATTGTTGATCTCCAAACCACAGGAGTAAGTATAGAAAAATACATATAGGATAAGGATTTTTCTCTAAAAGGGGTCTCTGTCTGTTTTCGTATAAATTAATGGTATTTAAAACTAAATATAACTTTTTAAAATAAAGTTTAGTAGGAAGATATTATATTTTGTAAAAAATATGCTTAAAGTAAAAAAATGACATAGTTAACATCCCTAATGGGACGTCCCTCTTCTTCTTCTTCAGATGCAAATCCACTAATGGATGTTAGCGATCACATTTTCCATTAACTCTCTATTTCTTGCAATATGTATCAGAGATTGTATTTCGTTAATCCCTGTCCATTGCCTTATGTTTCGGAGCCAGGACATTTTCTTGCGTCCCATTCCTCTCTTGCCTTCAATTTTACCTCGATTATAAGTTGGAGGAACTGGTATTTTTCATTTCGCATGATGTGACCTAGATACGCCGTTTTCCTTTTCTTGATGGTTTCGAAAAGTTGGCACATCTATATTTGTGATTTTAGCTGTCCATGGTATTTTTAGGATACGGCGATAAAGCCACATTTCGAAAGCTTCCAATCTGTTTATATCCCTCGTTTTGAGTGTCCAGCCCTCTACGCCATATAGCAGCACTGACCATACGTAGCACTTAGTAAACCTTAGTCTCAGTTGAAGATCGAACTCAGAACAAGTCAGTACCTTCTTGAATTTTACGAAAGCTTGTCGAGCTTGCTTGTTATGGTGGAGTTTTCAAATGCATGTAAGTTTCTGGAGATGATCATGAATTTGGTCTTTTTGGTATTAATCTCTAGTCCCATTCGCTCACTGTATTCTCCGATTATAGTGACAAGTTGTTGAAGATCGACTATGTTGTCACAAATTAAGACACATCATCAGCATATCGTATGTTGTTGATCAATACTCCATTCACCTTGATTCCCATCTCTACATCCTCCAAAGACTCTTGAAATATGGCTTCTGAATAAATGTTAAATAAAAGAGGGAAAGCACACATCCCTGTCGAACGCCTCTTCTTATATGTATGGGCTTAGATATAGAATTGTCTATTTTTAGCTGTGCCGTTTGATGCCAGTACAAGTTTTCAATGCATCTTATGTCTTTTTGGTCTATATCAACTTTCTTAAGAATCTGCATTAACTTGTGGTGTTGGACACGATCAAACGCTTTTTTGTAATCTAAAAAGCATAGGAACACATCCTTCCTCTGATCGTAACAATTTTGGACCAGTACCTGTGTTGCTACTATTGCTTCTCGTGTTCCTAAACCTTGCCTAAACCCGAACTGGGAATCACTGATGTCCCATTCACATTTTTTGTATAATCTTTGATGTAGTATTTTTAAGAATATCTTTAAAGTGTGACTCATCAGGCTAATGAGTCTGTGATCCTCACATCTTTTTGCATTGACTTTCTTGGGCAGGGGAATAAAGGTAGAGCGTAACCACTGTCGAGGATAGCAGCCAGTTTCATAAATTAGATTAAATATTTTGTGGACGTCCTCGGACGACCTTATGTCACAGTAAAATAAGGACACAAACAACAGTTTCATGTGCCAAAGGTCAACCTAAGGGTAAACAGTAATGACCTATTTTCTTGTAGTCCTTATAATTCAGGTGCAATAATAAACTATATGCAATATCAGTGCAATGAGTTAATAAAGATCTGTGATATAGACCTCTTTACCTGTAGTGTAAGGGATATTAAAAAATGTTATAAATAAGTACGATAAGTAAGGGACTCAATTTTTAATATTTTATTAACTTGTGTCTTTTTATTAATGTGTTTTATTTTGTGTGTTTTTATTTTGTACTTGTGTGTATATTGTATTTTTTGTGTGTATATTGTTATACCAAGTAATGAGCACTCTTACATGTAATTACTACCTAGGTGGTGTTTGTAAGTTTTAATAAATAAATAAATAAACAGTGGGGGACTGTGGAATAACAGCTGAAGCACTTAAATACATGAGAAAAAACAGGATATGGAGTAATACTTAGGATGTGCAATAAATTCTGAAACATGGGAAAATAGCAAATAACTGATACATCCACTTTTATTCACATAAAAAAAAATCATCAACAGCTTGTAGCAATTATCATATAGTATACAAATCTCCCATGCAAGCAAAAAATCTCCTCACCATCATCAGTGACAGACTAAAATTGACACTCTTGCAAAATATTCCCCAAGAACAGAGTAGTTTTGTCTCAAAAAGAAGCTCAGGATAACGCATTGTTAATCCACACAAACTGTTGATCTTGTGATTTCTGCTTTTACTTGTTCAGTCACAAATTAACCCCTTAATTTGTAATCTCACATTATTCTTAACTTCTTAATCTTTTATAATTTCACCGTGTATAAGTTTGCATTATATATATTGCAAAACCATATCGTATGATAATTTAATATTAGTTCATTTACCTACAACTAAATAAATTGCCGAATAATAATATTTTCTAATTGAACTTCGTAAGTGTCGCAATTAAGGCGTAGATTAAATTGTATTATAAGCAAAAGCTAGGTGGTGTGAATGAATGAAGCAATGACCTAAGCTGCTTATGTATCTATTATGTGTGAGATTATAAATTGGGGATTTGAGTTCAAATGAACACAGTCAATATTGAGTAGTTAACGAACGAACACCATATTGTGTAATTACGAGTTGCTGTCAATAAATCATCACTTTTACTCTACAACTTCAACATTTATTAACCCTATCAACATCGATCGACGAGAACCGGACAAAGGGGCATTACGAACCGAACCGAACTTCAAATACTAAGTGTTCGATATTTTCCATACTTGTTTCGGAATTTGTGAGAAAAAATATGTTGCTTATTCTTAAAATATTGTGAGGATAAAATACGATGATGTGTTCTTACTTACATTATTATTGTGTATGTATGTCAATTTGTACATTAAAAAAATTCTGCAAAACAGATCTCCAAATACATGAATGAAGCTATTTTGCACATTCTTCCAATATCTCACTAAACTGATTAAGAACAAAATAAAAAACTTACTGTACTTCAATTATTTAATTTATAAAAATATAAACGTTCCTGGATAGTTTCTTTATCTACAAAAATATAAAAGTTTCTTATATACATTTCTTATTCAACATAATCAAAATCTTCAGGAAGTCCAAATTGTTTATTTAATACACTGTCCTCCAGCATAAACTTCTTTTTGCACCACGATTTAATTGCAAATATATTATCAGTCCACCTTTCAGCAGCATTCTTTAGTTCAGTTGTTTTCTTGACAATCTCTTCAAACTTTTCAGGGTCATTTTCTTCATGATCCTTCAAATCTTTTTGTAAACTTCTAAGCTCTAATTCTTTATCATTAATTTCCTCCAACACCTGTTTGCACTTTTCTTCATCATCTTCTGCTCCTTTGGACGCTTCTAGGGTTTCATCAACCACTTTGAGTTTCTTAGTGATTTCTTCATACTTTTGCTTCAGATCTTCTAGCTGTTTTTTTCGGGCAGTTACACCCTTACTTGGAAATGCCCAAAAATAGACCGACGTGCCTATTTTATCTGTGTCAACTAGTCCATCTTCCACCAATTGTTGTACGACGTCTTTAACGGAATTGGCTACTATACCTTTAGCTTTGGGTGCTAGTTTTTCCAATTCTTTTAGTTGAAAACATTCACCTTTTTCGTAAAATAGTTGCAGCATGCGATTTCGCTTTTCTTCGGCGCTCACTCCTTTCTTTGACATATTCAAATTTGTTTTACATTTAAATATTCGAACTTTCTTTTTGTATTATGAGATAAAGTCAAAACAAAAATAAAAACATAACCTAACTTTTTTGTCAACCTGCACTCTGGAGGTAACTTTTTGAATTATTTTTACCAGTGCCGTTCTTCGCGGTGAAATAATAGGGACACAGATCACCTACCTATGTTTGGGATGAAAATAGATTTTATTTAATAATACATTTGTTTTTCCAGACAGCTGCAAGTGTAAACTTTCTTCCAGGAGCTGTATATAGCCTTGATATAGGCCCTCCAAAGAAAAAAGTTCAGGAGAAAGATCGAAAAGAACCAGAAGGCTCAAGAGTTAAAAGCGACATATCTACAGTACCAAAACTTTGCTTCACTTCTACCAAGGGGTTGTATCAAGTCGACTTTTATTAGATTCCAACAACTACGAGTATGAGTTTATAAAGTGTATTCGTTCTTTTATAAGCAAATAAATTATTTGTATAATAAATGTTTTTAGAAAATCTGAATATACTAATCCATCTTTAGTACAGTGGCTCACAGCTTAAATGATGCAATCGCTACTCAATAAAACTAGCTTGTGTCAGTGGCTCAATATTTATTAGAAAAAAATTACATTCTGTCTTCAAGTCTTCTACAATAGCATAAGCTATTTGTGGGTTTCAAACATACCATTCTTAAATAACAATAAATATTTAATTACTTTATGTATGATTTTTATTTCACAGCTGAAATGATACAGATAAGATGAAGCATTACACAGAATGCCCACTCTGCTTGTGAAGATAAGTACGCACATCTCGTTCGCGCAGACGGAATCAGCCATGTTTTAAACGGAACCAGTGCTGTTCAGTGAAATTGTATCTGTTGTGCATAGAAAAAGTAACCCGGTTTTATTTATTTACGGCAACCATAGACATAATAATACACTAGTTTAGTCGTACTTTTAGTTGAAGAATAGATTAAATTATTTCAAATTTACTAAATTGTTAATCTCTAAAAATTTAACTTACACTTCTGTCATAGCTTGTCATAAATTTCTCAATTCGAGTCTGTTTCCGTTTAAAATAATGGCGATTGCGTGCTGACAAACTTCAAAGGCGGCATCTGAAAGTCAGCGTTTTGTTATTTATTCTGGGCGTTGCATTCAATTCATATTGCACATATTTTTATGTTTTGACATTTCACTACGATCTTTGATTCACTACGATTAGTGAAAGAAATTTACTTATTACTTATTATAAACTCTTCTTCTTTAAGTGCCATCTCCGCGGCGGAGGTCGGCAATCATCATAACTATTCGTACTTTTGAGACGGCTGCTCTGAAAAGTTCATTTGATTTACACTCTCTCAGGTTGCGTAGCCATGACATTCTACGCCTCTCTATGCTTCTCTTTTCTTGGATCTTTCACTGCATAATCAGTTGGAGCAAGGTGTATTTCTCTCCACGTGTAATATGTCCGAGATATTCTAATTTTCTTGTTTTAATTGTATTTAAAATTTCCATTTCTTTTTATCCTTCTTAGAACCTCTTTGTGACGTGCTCTGTCCACGACATTTTCAGAATTCTTCTATACACCCACAGCTCAAATGATTCTAGTTTTTCCATTGATGTCGCATTCAAGGTCCAAGATTCCATTCCATAAAATAAAGTCGAAAAAACATAGCACCTCGCCAACCCAACTCTTAGTTCCAGTTTTAAATCCCTGGTCTTCTCTTCTCACTCTTCTTTTATAGTATAAATTTGATATGATCCTGAGGTCGTGGTAGTCAATCTTCTTTGATTTCAGGACATTCATTAATTGTTTATGTCGCACTTTATCGAATGCTTGATTATAGTCAATAAAACATGCGTAGATATCTTAATTGACGTCCAGGCATCTTTATATCAGTACATTAAGTTAAAAAAGAGCTTTACTCGTTCCTAGGCCTTTGCGAAAACCAATTGTTTATCATTAACGGGGTCGCGACTACACATTAAAGATTTGGTTATTTTATTGTCCATTTCCTCTCCTACCTCGTGAATACGATCAAGGAGAATTTGGAGATCTTCAATATTATCTGTCAGAATTACTGTAGGTATCGTCTGCATATCTAATCACATTAAGAAGTTCCCCGTTGATTTTTATTCCATATTCTCTTAAGTGTCTTTTTAAATAACTGGTCCGAGTAAACATTGAATAATGTTGGTGACAAAATGCAACCTTGTCTGACTCCTCGTTGTATGGAGATTTCATCGGTGTAGTTATCTTCAATTTTTACGATAGCAGTTTGTCTCCAGTATAAATTTTTTATGACACGAATATGCTTGTCATTTATTGCGATATTTTCCAGTATTTGCATTAATTTTACATGCTGTACTTTATCGAATGTCTTTTCGAAGTCTACAAAACATGCAAATAGATATTTTCTTTGGTCACGTCCATTTTTGTAGTAGGATGTTAGCGCAAAAAGTGCCTCCCTAGTTCCCATACAATTTCTAAAACCAAATTGGGTATCTTCGAGATCTTCTTCGCATTTGCGTCTAATTCTGTTGTGAAGTATTCTTAGAAAAATTTTAAGACTGTGGCTCATAAGATGGATTTGAGCCAATAAGTGGGAAACACTGCGGTGCTATATATTGAATTAAAAAGTCTTACTACTACTTTTATATTATCATTCTCTATTAGTTTCAGTAACTCAGTTTATAGCGTGTTCTACTTCGCATTTCATAATTTCTGAGCAGTCAGTAGTTTTGGTAGCATTCAGCAATATTATCTTATATTATCTTCAAACAACTCTGATATATACAGCTGCCATTCTTTTCTTATTTCGTGCTCATTTACAATAATTTTGTTATTATTGTCAACGAAGACAGAGGGAACTCGTTTTTTTTAAAGATGTTACTCATTTCTTTTAGTTTTTTGTGCACATTAAATAAGTCGTATTTAGATATTACATCCTCCATTTCGTCGCACCTTTCTCTCATTCATTTTTGTTGGCTAATTTGATCTCCTTTTTTTATTCTTCTCTGCAGGCGTCTATAATCTGTTTCATTAGAATTTATCAGACAGATGTCATCTGTCATCCATTTATTTTTCTTGATTAAGTTTTTTCTATAATCATTGTTTGTGGAGATTTCGTTAACCTGGTTTTTAAATTCACTCCATAGTTCTTCTGGATCTTCTAGTTGTTTTCCGATATTTTTTATTGTATTATTAAATTCTTTTTTTAATGTTGTTTTTGTGACATACGTATTACTTTTTCTAGAGCCAGATTGAACAGTATACTAAAGAGATGGTCTCCATGGCGCAGTCCGTTATTTATTTTAAAAGGTTCAGGTAGTTCCCCTGAATTCGTACTCTACATTCAACTTTTTCAAGAGTTTTTTGTTAAATTTGCCAACTGATTTGGTATTTCTAGCTCTTTTATTGCTTTTAACATTTCTCAGAGTCGTAGGCTGCTTTGTAGTCTATAAATATGTGATGAGTAACAATGCCATATTCTAGTGTTTTTTCTAAAATTTGTTTCAGGGTTGCAATCTGATGAATTGTCGATTTACCACCTCTGAACCCAACCTGATATTTTTGTACTATCGGTTCTGCATATGGTGCCATAGTACTGTGGAAAACATTTTATACGCTGCATTTAGAAGCGTAATTCTTCTGTGGTTAGAGCATTCAAAGACATTTTCTTTTTTGTGTATGGTGCAAAATATTTCAATATTCCAATCATTGGAGAGATATTTCATTCATGGCCATCTTTATATAGTTCAGCTGTGAGATTATCTATTCCGGGTGATTTGTTTCTGGCTAGTTTTTTTAACTGCATTTTAACTTCAAGAATCGTTGGTGGTTCCTCTTCCCCCGTCTGTCCAGAATCGCCATTATTATAGTTGTTGTTCTTAAAAGTTGTTCTTCTGACACAACTATTCGATGTTTGGGATAAAATAAAACAAAATATATGTATATTAAATAATCGCTTTTATATTTTCTTTTTTATGTCCAAGAACATTTTTTAAGCGATACATCATATTTTACATCTATTGTACAAAAAAAGTCTATCACACAAATACACACAAAAGCTATGAGAACAGCATGTTAACATAACATATCTCGTTCTAAGAAAAAACTTTACAAATAAAAAAAAATCATATACATGTGTGTCCCAACGTGGTGGGAAGCCAGATAAGCTGTGAAAACAATCGGTGTGTCGTTTAACAGAGGATTGCAGAAGTTTGGCAATGTAAAATAAGTATCTACAATTAGTTAAATAAAATTTATACATAATGAAAATGGCTTTTTATTTTTATTGACATTTCAAAGTTGTCGTTTACTAAGAACTGCCAGAATATCGTGTGATAATTTGAAAAACGAGCGTTATCATCAGTATCGAGTAAATACAACTGATTTGCTCCTTGTATCAGAAATGATGGCTAAATTACTGTAAAATTGTGATGTAAAAGATATTGAGGACATGGCTTCCGCCGATCATCAACTACTGATAACTGATGCCAAGATGTTTTTGTATGCTTGTGGCAATGAAGCGCAGTAAAGTTGGCAGCATTGTGTCGCGATTACCTATGCACACTTGCTGTAGTTTTCACGGCATAACCTATTTCACTTTTGCCTCCAAATTCCCTATGTCGACTTTTGTGTTATACTGAGTATAATGTTTAAAGTTTTCAAATATTGGAAGAGATATCTTAGGATTATTTTGGAATTATATGGAACATCATTCCACAAGGAGATTCCTAGAGGTTTCTTCATCAGTTCAAACCATGGGGGAGGTATATGCGTTTCCAAGTAGAGCAGTTTTAAGAGAATAATGCTATAAGATTTATACTGTTTTCGGATAAGCTTTTTAAGCGTTGGTTGATCAATAATTGACCGAGAATATAAATGGAATCAACACATAAAGCGAATCAAAATGAATCATGAGGACAGAATGGTAAAAAACACTAGTAAACTATAAAATAATCCAACAGTTGTCTTGGAGATTGCCATTGGTACGGTTTTCGATGTTTTTTCCGAGAATCTGTTTTGAAATCTACAGAGGTCACAGGAATATTACAATTGCACAAGTGGCAAGAAAGGTATTCCCATTAATCGTTTTTGAGTAAAACTCACTTTTCTTCAAATTAAGACTGACAGTAAACCACAGTTTAACAGGAAGTACTGGATAATTGGTTCGCGACCAAATAAAAAAGGTTAATATAGAAGATGAAACAATTGTATAAAGCAATTTTATAGCTTATGTTAGGTTAGGCTTTTAGATAATACTAGAAAGCAGTGTCTGTATGGCACTGTAGTTTTACAATCTAGTATAGGAGTAAACATAGAAATATCTGTGTTGTGTTTGATTTGTATTAAAAACCAATCACATTCTATTATTATTTGCCCAATAGAAGACCTTGAGTTAAATATAATTGTATCTAATCAAAGGAAGTACCCTTAAACGAAGATGTTCCAAAACAGAACTCGAAAAATAGC